TTGTTTTAGCAACAAAGCTTGGTCAAATCAATCGCAAACTATGTACTAAATTCCTATTTAAAATAAGTACGAGGTATTTCCTTATCTTTCTTCAAGAAATAACTTTTTTGCCACAAAAAAACGCTCCAACAGCTATTTTCAACAACAAAATGATAAACAAATCATGGGCGTAGTGAAGAAAAGCATTTACTTATTAAGTAAATTCTTTTAGTCAAATAGCTTCTGAAAGTAGTACAAACTAATCTGTTTTCTCATTACGATACATTATAGTACAATTATCATTTGGCCTATGTAAGTTTAGAGACATGTGTCATCGTGTACGAACCCTAGAAAGAAAATCACTGTTACACCGAATAATGACAGTTATATACGGCACAATTTTTGGTACTCGGTTAAAATTTATGACCGTTCGTCGCGCCATTTTAACCGAAAAGTTATAGTAGTGTGTTTACGACCAGTTGTGCAAGAAGAATTTCCTTAGCTCTCTTATTCGGAGCCGTAGAGGTGTTTCGTCAGGGGCGGAGAACAAGAAAACACTGAGCAAAAAAATTTAAAATTAAAATTCAGCCAATTAAAAAATGTATACATTAAATGGTTTGATTAAACTAAACTGATTCTATGAATGAAACTAGTTTAACTAAGCCAAAATGCAGTCGTTTAATTAAATTTAATAAACCGTTTACTTAGATTGAGTACACCAATTTACTTAAAATTAATGAACTATTAAAATGAGCTTATCTGCTCCAAGTAAAACAATTTATATACGTTCTTGCTCAAATAAACTTTAATGTTCCATCTATTCAAACTCGTAAAGCTAAAACATTATATTGTGATAGGGCTCGCACAAATTTGTTTTTGAAGGCACCCATATTATGTGATGTCTGAAACTTTCAATGCAATATGAAATTATTGTGACACATGCTGACAGTTTGAACAGCATTCTGGGACTAGCTAGAAATTGCTTGGATAATTTATGATATGTTCCTCATCTGAGTGAAATATGTTTTTTATGCTTCTCTTTCTTGTTTGTTTTTTTCTTTAGGTGAAATTCTATGTGTTTTCTGTTCTTGTTATCTTAGGATCGTCCTGTAAATGGTTTTCTTAACTGTTGGGCAATAAACGCTATTTATTATTATTATTATTATTATTATTGGTTGTAGTGTTTTGGTTACCTGAAAAGTGAGGAATCATAATATACTAAGTGACATATAAATCCGAACACCCAGTTTAAATGGCTTTATTTTAATAATATTTTGTATAAGTATTTAATGAAGCATAATATGTAAATGATAAAAATTTCAAAATGATTGCACTGCTTTAAAGCCCTTTGACCTTTAATAATGTGTGGATGCAGCCTGATGTGCTACGCATTCTCCAACGCGCCTAGGCATGCTTCTGATCAGGTGGTCAATGTCCTCCTGTGGTATCTCATTCCAGGCAACCACCAACTCCTCTCGAAGTGCTTCTAGAGTCTGAGGAGGACGTTGCAAATTGAGAAATCTCCTACCCATCATATCCCACACGTGCTCAATTGGGGATAAGTCGGGAGATCTTGGTGGCCATGGTAACAATGTGACATCATTATGTTGAAAGAAGTCTATTGTGACTCTTGCACCATGTGGTCGGGCATTATCTTGTTGGAAAGTTGGATCTGCTAGGGTGTCAAGATAGGGTAAAAGATGGGGTTCTAGAACTTCGTGGATATAACGCTGCGCGTTCATGTTACCTCTGATGAAGATTAAAGGTGACCTGGAACCATAAGCTATAACACCCCAAACCATAACTCCAACAGTGTGATGAACATATCTTTCAACAAAAAACTGTGGATTCCTCCTTTCACCACGTCGCCTTCTAACCCTGGCACGACCATCGTGCATGCTTAAACAAAATCGAGACTCGTCACTAAAGACAATACTGTTCCATTCCTGATCCCAGGGTGACCGTTGTCTGCACCACTCAAGGCGATTACGTCGGTGTTTTCGAGTTAAAGGGAGGACCCAGTGTGGCCGGTATGAAAACAAGCCAAAACTTCTCATTCGTCGGTAAACACTTCGCATGCCAATAGGTCTTCCGTGTTCTGCAAACCATTCATTTGCAATGGACCTGGTAGTGGAGAAACGGTCCCTTAAGGCCAATAATCTTAGGCGGCGATCTTCACGGTCTGTTGTTCTACGGCGGCGTCCAGTGCCCCTTGCTCTTTGCGTACGGCCTTCTCGAAGCCATGCCTGACAACACCTAACCACAGTGTCTACACTTCTTTGCACTCTCACTGAAATTGCCCGAAAAGAAAGTCCAGCTTCCTGAAGTCCCACTATACGGCCCCTATCAAACTCACTAAGTTAACGAAATCGTACAGGTCTCCGTACTCTAGGCATCGTAACCGATCGTAAAGGATGTCAAGAATCAAAACCCGCCAACGTTGATTCTTTACTGCGGCTGAAATATTCATTTTTAGAGCGTTAGTGAATTAAAAAAAAGCACTATAAAAACCGGAATGTCCAACTGATAAGGCTGAAAATTTTTTCACTTGTTATTTACAGTAAGATAAATGCATTCACCAACTTTTATTAAAATGAAACCATTTAAACTGGGTGTTCGGATTTATATGTCACTTAGTATACTTTTATGTTCATGATCCATGAATGCGGTAAGCCATATTTTTTAAGGTGCTATCTATGTTTCCATTAATGGGTCACGGATAATTGCCGATGAGGATAGAGAAATTAACTGGCTCGTACAGGTGTGACGCATCCAGTTTCTGGAGGTCGTTATGGGACCTTTAGAGCTGTATTGCTAGGTTCAGGTAAATAGGTATGTTAATTACTGCTCGGTTTTCTCTGTCGGGGGGAATGTAGGAGCATTTTGGATGTTCACACGAGGGCTCTTGAATGAAGGAACATTCATGTCTGTGTGACTGCTTAGCCTCCCCTCTTTGTAATCGCTGGAGTCTGAAAGTCTGTTATGGTATGTTAGGATTGTTACTTCAAAATTCGGTTATCTCTGAATCAGAGGTATCGTTGGAGTCTGTGAGTATTGAAACGGCAACGTGATATCCTGGATTCTGGACTGCTTTTCATAGCAACCCTTAAACTCAGCATATCTGTCCATACACCTGCGTATCAACAAAGACTGTATTATCTTTGGATGTTTATTCGAAGAAGAGCTCTGCAGACGGGTATATGATAAATCATAAATAAAGGAACTGCTGTCTTGATTCGGGTCTAAAGGTCGTCGTCGGTTGGAATTTCTTTCTAACGTTTCGCTAGCACGAGTGGCAAGCTTCTTCAGAGTCCTTCCATTTTTATGGAACGCTTTGAGAAACAGGCGATTGAGTCATCGGAGAACAAACCAGCAATTTGGTTCCGATACGTGGACGACACATTCGTGAATTGGAAACATGGCACGGACAGGCTAAACGAGTTTCTGCAGCACCTCAACGATAGAGAGTGACCAACAACTGGCCTTCTTGGACGTACTGGTCAGGAAGCGAGGTAACAAGCTGGGTCACACAGTGTACAGGAAAAAAACGCACACAGACAGATACCTGCACGCTTTGTCCAACCATCACCCAAGTCAGAAGTATGGAGTCATCAGAACCCTGACAGAACGAGCTCGAAGTACTTGCGAACCGGAGGACCTCCAGACAGAACTTGAACAGATGAAAACTTCATTCGAAGCAAATGGATACAGCAAGAGGGACATCGAAAGATCAGTGGGCTCGAGATCAGCCAGGCCACGTGAAACCGAACAGCGTCCCACCACCTCTCAAGCGTATCTTCCATTTGTGCCAAGAGTCACAGGCAGGATTGGCAGAGTCCTGAAGAGACATGACATTAAAACAATCTTCAAGCCTACGAAATCATCAGATCGGCACAGGACAAGAAGGAACCACGAAAAGATCAATGGAAACGAGACCCAAGGAGCACAAAGCACATTGCCGGCTAGGACAAACTGAGAAGTCTGCGGTAGCTTAACATGCACTAAGCAATGAGGACCACAGGATACACTTTGGGAGCTGCAGGTTGCTGTCATCAGTCAACGGCTATCACAATAGACTGGTCAGGGAAGCTATCGAGATTCACAAACATCCAGAAAACTTCAACAGGAAGGAAGATACCCTCAGACTCAACCCGATCTGGCGGCGAAAGCCTTAACCAATTTGTCATAAATAAATAACCTGTAACTCGTTGTTGTTCCGTCAACAAGTAAGTGGCTTTGGTATCACCCGGACATTGTTGCCCATATTGGTTATCGAATGCCCTTGCATCATCGTCTTATAATTGGATATGAAATATTAGGCAAACATACGAAACAAATAAAATCCTACGCTGCTGTTTTAACCACTGCATAACTTCTACGTTGGAAGATTCATGTTCCTGTAATTAATACGGACGCACATATTTGCGTGCTCTTCGTTCTTTGTTCCACGTATTATGGGCAGTAAAACATATCGGCAGAAAGAAACGTACTGTATATGATGTGCTCATATTTATGGCTAACTGCGCTTCGCGGTGGTCAGCGTTTTTATTTCTTGCAGCTTGCGAACGAGTTTCAGCTCGAAATACACGTTTTGATGTTCGATATCCTAGTTTACGGACTAGGATGGGGGCTTCTGTATTATAGTATAAGGCCACGTACATCGCTAAACGTTTTTCTATTTGTTGTAAATTCAAGTTTCCGCATTCGGATAAAGCTACGTTCTTACGGGACAAAAAGACGTCAGAGTGGACGGTTCACACGATCACGATTCAGTTAATTTTATATAGCGACCATGAAACAGCTTCTGACTGATAGTTGTGCTCTTTTGAGTTATTCTAGTGCTATGATGGTGGAGGTGGATGAGGTTGAGTCACGTGAACAGTTAAAAATAGCGCCAAGAAGATTGACTACACTTCACACGCTATGCCGTTATCATCAGTTCATAAAAGATGTGCGTGAATCTTTGTTTTAAACTCAATGATAGACGTTTCAATATGGTCTGATGAGAGTATTTTGGTTTCAGCCCATCCAAGCACAGACCTGTTAGAAGAGTGCCAAAAGCTCCTGGACATGTTCCAGTACCCTTGGGAGATGATGCCTTTATTGTACGCCATCCTTAAGGACGCTCGATCAGACTTAGAAGAGGCTTCTAGGAGGATTGATGAAGGTCAGTGTCATATTACCAATTCAACAATAATTTTAACCGATTTAATTTCTGATATATGATTCGATTTCGGACTCTGGAATTATAACACCTCTATGGTTTCGTCATATTTTAGTCTAGGTGCGTGTTATGTTCCACTGTATATTAGGACAATATTAGTAGGTCCAAAGTGTTAGGTAACATTGATAAAACATTGACTGACCAATAAGGTTAATGCCCAGTTGTTGGGAAATATGCATAAAGCATAATACATGATTGATCGGCGAATAAGGTTAATGGCCAGTTATCTGAAAATACTGATAAAATATAATACATCATTGACTGGCCAATAAGGTTAATGCCCAGCTGTTGGGAAATATGCATAAAGCATAATACATGATTGATCGGCGAATGAGTAATACATCATTGACTGGCCAATAAGGTTAATGCCCAGTTGTTGGGAAATATTCATAAATCATAATACACGATTGTTCGGAGAATAAGGTTAATGACCGATCATTGGACAATATTGATAAAACATAATACATCATTGACTGGCCAATAAGGTTAATGTCCAGTTGTTGGGAAATCTTCATAAAGCATAATACATGATTGATCGGCGAATAAGGTTAATGACCAGTTATTGGACAATATTGATAAAACATAATACATCATTGACTGGCCAATAAGGTTAATGCCCAGCTGTTGGAAAATATTCATAATGCATAATACATGATTGATCGGCGAATAAGACTAATGACCAGTTATTGGACAATATTGATAAAACATAATACATCAGTGACTGGCCAATAAGGTTAATGAACAGTTGTTGGAAAATAGTCATAAAGCATAATTCATGATTGATCGGGGAATAAAGTTAATGACCAGTTATTGGACAATATTGGTAAAACTTAATACATCATTGACTGGCCAATAATGATAATGCCCAGTTGTTGGGAAATATTCATAAAGCATAATACACGATTGATCGGCGAATAAAGTTAATGACCAGTTATTGGACAATATTGATAAAACATAATACATCATTGACTGGCCAATAAGGTTAATGTCCAGTTGTTGGGAAATATTCATAAAGCATAATACACGATTGATCAGCGAATAAGCTTAATGACCAGTTACTGGACAATATTGATAAAACATAATACGTCATTGACTGGGCAATCAGGTTAATGTCCAGTTGTTTGGAAATATTCATAAAGCATAATACATGATTGATCGGCGAATAAGGTTAATGACCAGTTATTAGACAATATTTGTAAAACATAATACATCATTGACTGGCCAATAAGGTTAATGTCCAGTTGTTGGGAAATATTCATAAAGCATAATACACGATTGATCAGCGAATAAGGTTAATGACCAGTTACTGGAAAATATTGATGAAACATAATACATCATTGACTGGCCAATAAGGTTAATGCCCAGCTGTTGGGAAATATTCATAAAGCATAATACACGATTGATCGGCGAACGAGTAATACATCATTGACTAGACAATAAGGTTAATGCCCAGTGGTTGGGAAATATTCATAAAGCATAATACATGATTGATCGGCGAATAATATTATTGGCCAGTTATTTGAAAATACTAATAAAACATAATACATCATTGACTGGCCAATAAGGTTAATGCCCAGCTGTTGGGAAATATGCATAAACCATAATACACGATTGATCGGCGAATAAGTAATACATCATTGACTGGCCAATAAGGTTAATGCCCAGTTGTTGGGAAATATTCATAAATCATAATACACGATTGATCGGTGAATAAGGTTAATGACCAATCATTGGACAATATTGATAAAACATAATACATCATTGACTGGCCAATAAGGTTAATGTCCAGTTGTTGGGAAATATTCATAAAGCATAATACATGATTGATCGGTGAATAAGGTTAATAACCAGTTATTCGACAATATTGACTGGCCAATAAGGTGAATGCCCAGTTGTTGGAAAATATTCATAAAGCATAATACATGATTGATCGGCGAATAAGGTTAATGACCAGTTATTGGACAATATTGATAAAACATAATACATCATTGATTGGCCAGTAAGGTTAATGCCCAGCTGTTGGGAAATATTCATAAAGCATAATACATGATTGATCGGCGAATAAGGTTAATGACCAGTTATTGGACAATATTGATAAAACATAATACATCATTGACTGGCCAATAAGGTTAATGTCCAGTTATTGGGAAATACTCATAAAGCATAATATATGATTGATCGGTGAATAAGGTTAATAACCAGTTATTCGACAATATTGATAGACTATAATGCATCATTGACTGGCCAATAAGGTTAATGCCCAGCTGTTGGGAAATATTCACAAAGCATAATACACGATTGATCGGCGAATAAGGTTAATCACCAGTTGGACAATATTGATAAAACATGATAATACGTCATTGTCCTGCAACTGACTTTAATTCTCGTGAAGCATTGTGGTCATACTTTGATGTCGCTTTTAGGATTCAGGTTCCAATAAGATTTATCTTGTTTGGTTGTTTTCTCAGCTTTTTTTGTTACCGTTTACATTTTCCATGTGTTTATTCTGATATTAATCTTCTTGGTCAACATGGCTATATAAAGACGCTAAAATGAGAATATTAACAACATTGCCCGCCAAGTGTGGACACTTACATCAATGCCCAATTATAGTATTTGCCTGTACCATGTATACGAGTACATATGGTAAACACTACCATCCTGAGTGCTTTTTGTCATTCTAGAACAAAATTAGGTTTAAGAAATAATTTTTAAGTATCTAGATGGACAAATAGTTATGTAATTTTTTAACAAATTGTTATGTTATTCCATAGGAAAGCGTGTGGTCAACGAGTACAGTCGGATGCACAATCTAAACATATACGATGGAGTAGAGCTTCGAAATTCTAACCGTGAGTATCAATTTTATTGAAAAATTAACGGTCACCCAAAATTGTATCCAGCTTTTTACTATTTTAAAGTTTTAACCGTTTTTTGTTTTGTTTGCTATCACTGATTTTTCTAATTTCATTTCCTCTGGCGTGGTTAGTGGTGTGTTTATGTTCCAAACGCATTTTTTCCCTTTATAAACGAAGACGAATGATGATTAAATGTTTTCTCTAGAGAATTTTGATTTTCAGATAAAGCGAAAATTGTAAAAAGACAAACTGTATCACTTCAGCGTTTCTTGTCATTCAAACATTTAAGTTGTGTGCATTGTCTTTCACCAAAAACACCTTGTACATTTTTACAGTCTTATATTATCTTTATTTTGGTGTAAATTTTAGATAGATTGAGTTAAAGATCAGATATTCTTTCGTTAGGTTGATATGGTGGAAATCACAGAAACAGCACTTTTTTATATTGACTTCGTATTACGCACACCGCTAGCAACGACCACAATTCAGAAAATTTTGGGTGCCAGTGTTGGATACATTTCTCAACGAACATTTAAGTAACTTTATCTCTCCACGGCCTAGATAAGAATCCACAGGACAGAAGGGCATACAACAACTCGGCGTTCAAATCCGTCAATCTTCAGTTCAAATGTAACGTCCTTATTTAAGTGTCATATTAGTACCTTTAGTACCAAGCATAGTTCTAAGTGTATAGTCATTACCAAATATTTATTTTTCTTGCATTTTTACGAGTATAAAGTAACAGGTACAAAATGAAGATTCAAGAAATGATATCGAAGAAAGAAGATAGAAGACCGTCTCACCATTGAAGAAGGAAGATTATCACGGCTTATAACGAAATTCTTCCTGATAATAACAAGTTCCTTTTAATTTAGATGTTAAGCACTTTCTCGAATTTAGCGGTGGATTTCATATCTATTTCAGAATTGACGTGTACTGTGTACATATTTTGAATTTATACATAGATATTCTCTATTTGTCAAGTACTTTGTTTGCTACTTAGAGTTATATTTCTATATAAAATTGTCATAAATCGAAGAAGACGTGATTGAACGAATTTTATTATGGGTAAGTTCACGATGATTTTTAGGAAAAATTTGCTAAACCAGCATTATCGCAGTTAGCCATGGCAATGGCAACCAACTTATAACGGGCGAAGTATTTTTTGATAAAATGACGTCAAGTAGGTTGACTCCTATGCAACGCTGTCATCAGTTCATAAAGAGCTATGATCAGCACAAGCTGGACCTCTGTATACCGGGTGATTCTCCGAGGTGGCTCACCCCTATAACTTTTTTATTATTGAAGATAGAAAAACGAAGTTTGGGTTCGCTTGACTTTTTAAATGGAAGACCAACTTCTTACGAATAATTTAATAATACACACTCTTATTTTATTTCCACTATTTCCAAATTATCACCATGTTAGCGACTTTGACAGAAGTAGAATTATTGCCTATCGAGATGTTAGTTTGTCATATCGCGAAATTCGCCGCCGTGTTAATTGTACTGCAATGACGGTAATGCGTACCTGTATGTGTCGTGTGAGGATAGAAACAGGTAGAGCAACACAAGAAGGCCGCCGCAATCGAGCCTTTGAACTTTTTTGATACCGTCCACGGTTAGTGCTTTCTCTAACTGCGGACCACTGTCGTCAACGTTTGAACTGGAGCAGAGAACGACAACATTTGGAGGCAAAGTGGCATAACGTCATCTTCAGCGACGAATCGCGATTCTGTCTAGGTACGCACGATGGTCATAGAAGGATAAGACGCCGCCGTGGAGAACGTCGTGATATTGAATTTGCTGTTGAGACGTACGGGTCCGATAACATCCAATCCGTTGAACTACTTCTGCGATTCCGAGTATCAAATCGAACCCAAATCCATTTTAGATACTGAGGAAATGGAAAAAAATACTATCTTTAGACATAGTACATATTTATTTCTACAGAAATTGAACTTTTCTTGCCCTTATGTTTGAAAAATCTGAACTTCATATTCAATAGAAACTATAGCTAAATTCCTTAGTCTTTGCATTTTTGACCTCAAAAAAAATATTTTTTAATCTTTAACTTTGAATAAGACCTTTCACCGGATGCAACTCTGATTGGCAATGTAATATTCGTATAGCAATTGCTGTGTTTGGAAATGTTGAATTTAAATCATTAGTAAAAAGGTATTGTAACAAAGTATGAGAATCATTAGACCGATTTTCTGGAAAGTGCAATTTCAAAGCTTTAATTTCGTTAAATGAATCGATACCGTCAATGTCAGTTTCGCGAGTAGATTCGTCTTTAAGCTTTAGATTTAAATTTTTACAGTGTATCATTTAGCCATCGTTGCAGTAATTAAATAAGTTATCGTTTAAAAAGCCAGTCAGTAAAAGTTTTAGACTCCTCGAGAGGTTAGCGTCTCATCTAAGATTCTGAAAAAAAACTCTACTTTGTATTTAATTTTGGGTTCTAGTAACACTTCGTCACTGTGTTCATGTTGAAATAGGATTGGTCTTTTTCTAAGGCGAATCAGGTTTATCGGAGGCGAAATTTGCTTCTACGTTGAGGTCCTGACCTACAGTAGCTTCTTGTAATAGCTTCGCAATGTACTCATCGGTGCGATATTCGGTTAACAATAATCGATTTTTCCAAACAAATTTGTACGTTCCTTGTGGGGCTTTGCATCATATTGCTTAAAGCATTAATTTCGTTTGAAATTGGAACCAAATTATCACTGGACAACAAATTTTAGTTTTTTAATTGTATCTTGTGGGAAAAGTGCACTTCTTTGTTAATTTTGGTGCGCTGAATCCAAAAATGACAATGAAATAAAAAAACTAGTTGCGGTTTAGAAAAAACCTTTTTATTTTTAAGGATATATTAAAAAAAAGTAACAAGATTCATATACTTATAAGAATCACTATATGCGCTATCTTTTTGCTGTTCTTTTATGGATCGTTTCTGGAGCATCTCTACCAAGAGTCCAACAGTAGTCTGCAAGCATGGAAGGATTCCACTTTCCCTGGTACCTTTTTTCCATTGTTGAAATATCCTGATGAAAACGTTCGCCGTGCTCATCACTTACGGCTCCGCAATTGTCAGGAAAAAAGTCCAGGTGTGAGTGTAGGAAATGTATCTTAAGAGACATATTACAGCCCATCTTTTGATACGATGACAGCATATTTTTGACAAGGGTTTTATAGTTGTCAGCTTTTCTATTTCCCAAGAAATTAGTGACCACCAGACGGAAATCATTCCAAGCAGTTTTTTCAATACCTGTTAAAGTGTTTTCAAACTGTGTATCTTTCAAAATATTTCGAATCTGTGGCCCAACAAAAATACCTTCTTTAACCTTTGCCTCACTTAGTCTTGGAAATTTCTGACGCAGGTATTGAAAAGCTGACCCATCTCTATCTAATGCCTTGACAAAGTTTTTCATTAGGCCCAACTTGATATGCAGTGGTGGTAATAAATTTTTTTTCGAATCTACTAATGGCATATGCTGTACATTTTTTTTGACCTGGCTCTAGGAATTGACGAACAGGCCAGTTTTGTCTGGTGTAATGAAGTGCCTTTGCCCGACTGTCCCATTCAGACAAAAAACAGCAAAACCTTGTGTAGCCTAGCTGCAGCCCAAGTAAAAGTGCAACAACTTTCAAATCGCCACAAATATGCCATTGGTGCTCATCGTATTTTATGCATGTCAATAGGTACTTCATATTGTCATATGATTCTTTCATGTGAACTGAATACCCTACAGGAAGAGATGGTAAAATATTTCCAATATGCAATAACACTGCCTTTAAACTCAATGTTGAACTGTCTATAAACAATCTCCATTCTTCTGGGTTATGGTTTATATTTAAAGCCGGCAGTAAGCCGTTAATGTTACTGCAGAAAACCAAGTTATTCTCCATATTGAAAAATGGTTCTGAGTCTTTGTGGCGTTTACGAAAAACACATACCGGAACATCGTTTTCTAACAAGTTCCACTGCTGCAGTCTTGATCCAAGTAACTCTGCCTTACATTTTGGAAGTTCTAAATCTCTTACAAGATCATTTAATTCTGACTGTGTTATTTTGTGCGGTTGGTGGCATGACGTGCTCGGTAAAATCAGGATCTCTTGACGTTGATGGCATATCTTCTTCCTGACGAATCACTAGATCGCCATGATCTGATTCGCAAGTGTAGGATTCTGGGGGTTTTGGAATAGGATTTTCGTCAATGTGAGGCACAGGTCTCATCGCAGATGGTATGTTTGGGTAGTTAATAACCGATTTTTTTTTCTTGGACATACCTGTGGCTTGTCCAACACAAGGTACCATGCAAAAGTAACAATCATTAATATGATTTGTAGGCTCTCTCCAAACCATTGGAACAGCAAAGCGCATAGACCGTTTTTTGCCATTTAACCAGCTCCTCAGACTTGAAGCACATGTATTATAGCAGATGTGGGGTGCCCACTGTTTGTCTTGATCACCTAGCGTACAACCGAAATAAAGCTGATATGCCTTTGTTATTAGTGGAGTAATAGACCGTCTCTGAGACGCAAAAGTCACCTCACCACACACGTAACAAAACTGATCTGGATTGTTTACACACTTTCGAGACATCTTGCATGAACGCTGTCAGCCAACTGAGGAAAAAATGGCTAATATAAAACAATATAATGTACACGTATGTATAACGTAACACAATCATGCCGATTACATCATCTTTCCTTGCCGAATATAAAAATGTAGCACGTGCATTCTTGTGAATTACAGTATATTAATACTGTCACAGCAGCAACACATATTATTACCGTATCTCTAAAACTTGAACTAATATTGAGAAAATAAGTTTCATTCCGGTTTTAGCACATTAAAAATAGTAATATTTTGTTGATTTTATTTAGGATATTTTTTGGCTGTTGATCAGTGTTATTATTGTGCAAGTAAATCTATAATTTTGAATGCTCAGCTTGTGAGCTTTGTGAGATGTTACACAGACTCATTCTAGCGAATTTTCATCAGACATTTCCAGCAAAGCATCAAATATTTTTTCAATGGTAATGGTTTGACTGTTAGACTGCTGCTAGTCCATCGTGTGGCACTTAGAGAATTTAATCTGAAATCTGGTAAATGTTTGCAAATCATCGACCACCTGTTCGTAGATTATAAAAAACACGTGAATTTCTGGAATTATATTAAATAAATTCACAGTTTCGTGCGAAATATTTGCATGCAGCGGGTCTGGGTAGTCGATCAACCCTTCTCTTTGTTCACGGCAATATGACTTTGTCACAGCTAATCCACAACTAGACATTGATCATATCATTTTGCAATAAAATTTTCTTGGAATGGGTTATGTGCTGAGTACTAGTACGTACACAGCCACCTACTTATATTTTATTCACATTTAAACCGTCTTGTCGAAGTGACAGTTGCCACGTGGGTCAGCAATTTTCCAGACATACAGGATCTAAAAATAATCGGTGACCTTGTCAACCTTAAGGATTTCATGCCCGTATAATTATTTGAATAAATTAGAACGATTATGTTGTCATCAAAATACATATGCGTTCATTTATACTTGTAAAACATTACTACAGATCCGGACTAGGAACGGGCCAGTGAGAGCAAAATAATCACGAATCAAGCACTAAACTAACATTTGACGTCTTATAATGAATGAATCGCAACACAAAAGCATCGAATTTCTTGAAGAAACCCTGATTTTATAGACAGATTGTCAATAATCGTTCATTTGTTTTTTGTTTCCATGGATGATGTGACTCGTTTGAATATAAAAATATCCAATTTTTTTAAACAAATAGCTATAACCGTTTGAAGAAACAGGTTACAAACTTATTTTAAAAAATAGCTCATGGAAATGGGAGTCCGATAGTGGAAAATATACTGGGTGTTCCATTTAATTTTGGATGGAAGGTTAAGATTGGGTATAATAGAATATTTTTGATACAAAATTCACTACTCCGAATATCGAGATGGCAGGTACCCAGACTATCAAACTTTGATGATTTTTTAGATCATATACTCAATAGC